TTGTAAGTATATATTATATACTTACATTATATTATATAATAGATAATTATACATTATATACATATTACTATATGTAATAGGAGCGTGTCTTTTATTTAACATTACAATTTTCTTCTTCTTTTATCGCAAATGAGCATCCGCCTATGCCGCGCGCCGCATTGAGGAAGAAAACTTTAGGCTTTCTCCAGTCAGCTTCTCACTTCTCGAAGACCTCCGGTTGCTAAAGTCGCAGCTTGAAATCTTCGACGGTAGCGCTGATCTTAGAATGTAACGAATTGGCAGTGATTGACGTCTCTCGTGCAAGACTTCCCGGGCGACTTCTTTGCTCGGCAATTTCCTCGGAGGTCCCCTCCCTATATTACATTGACTGCAATTTCTCTTCTGGATCACTGCTGACCATGGATGTTTCCATCTCCTCAAATTCGCACGAATTAGCAGGGTCGATGATTTATTTCGTGCGGTCCCTTTGGCTCTTAAAGACAAGTCAATTATTTTTTCCCTCCTGATTTTACGCATCAGGATACTTGGAGGAAATACACGTTATACACATGATTCTTTGGACTCCGATGAAATGTTGCTTTATAATACACCATCTGCTCGTCAAGCCTTCTTTCGAATTATTCTCTGGATTGTTTTAGACATAAACCTGATCTTCGATTGTCTCCAAACGGTGTTTCGCTAATCATCGATCTCCTCAAGTGTTTCTCAAAAATTGATTCTTTTTATCAATGATAGAATCTGGCAAATCTCGAATACCTAATACAGCTACTTTCGTAGATCTCTCTCTTGATGTTTGTTCATCAAGTTTAGGCGTTCGATAATCGATCGCTTTCTACCTGCAGCATATTATTAGGTGACCTCAGAAAATGTTAGATCGTTAGATGTGCAAATGTCGAAGATCTCCGCGATCTTTACGAGGAAGAGGTCTCGACGGTCTCAACTGCGGAGTGTGACGCGCGGCTGAGACCGCTCGCGGAGACGATTGATTACACGTGTCTCTTCATGTGGAGAGCTAGATGGTCGCTGCGGGAGAAGCATCGGTCGCAATGCCGGCACTTGAACGGCTTCGCGCCGGTATGCTTGCGGTAATGGCGCGTCAATTCATCTGAACGCGCGAATCGCCATTCGCAGCCCTCCCAACTACACTTGTACGGTTTCTCCCCTGAAACAGAAAAAAAGCAAAGCCACGTTAGAGAATTTAGTAGGGCATTTAATTCTCCAAGTAGTTATTCTCGCAAACGATTTCGATAAGCCACTATAACATTCTAATTGATATGTTTTAACGTCTAAGAGATATATTTTATTTTTAAGAGATAAGTTTATAATAAACTAGTAAACAGGCACGATTTTCAATAAAATCTGTAAGCAAAATTCAACAATAATTTTATGTTTAATAGAATGTTTAAAAAACACTACAAATTTGTCAAAATAAAAAAATTAATTTTTGTTTTCAGAAAATTAATAAAATTAATAAAAATTAAAATTAGAAAATTTATATAAAATCTGCAAATATCCTTCGTCACTTTTAATTTATAAATTTATAACAGATTGTGTGTAAGTAGGTAACAAACAATAAGTACATTTCCTTTTTAATAATACTTTTGATTTCGAGATTATTACGAATTAACATATACAATTCTAAATATTATTAAACTTGCTATAAATTACGTATGCCTAGTTTCGGTAAATTGCCATTGTCAATAGACAGTTTGCGCAGAACATAACATAACGCTGGATAATGCCCGTTTATGTAGAGATAAGCGGAACTACATCAGTACAGTATCAGTCTCGTACTTGAGAAAGCTCGTTCGTTCAATGTTATGATCCACCGGGCTAGGGGCTTCCTTGATCGTAGGACAGCATCACGATAGGCATAAGCTTACTGCAAAGCGATTCAATAGATTTCCGCGTGATGATACAAGGATTGGACGTTATTATCCCTCTAAACAGACTATCAAAGACAATGAGTAGTATCTAATCGTCGTTAACTGTGACGAAATGTCGACGATGGGATTCATGTCCAACTATCGGCACAATAGCGCAACCACACGTTGGGTGACGACACGATACAAATCCCTGTGTCGCAAATCCGAGGTAATCCTGTGGGATTCACGCGGCGATTGAATTTGATTTAAAAACCTATACAACCCTGAAAAATCCGCATGATGCCGCCCGTCGCTGATTTGCGACGCATGAGAGAAATATTAGGGACCGGTCGTGAAAAACACATATGCGACACATATACGCTGAGACGAAACTGCTTGTCAGGCGGAAGGAGAGACCATGTGTTATTAAGTCGGTAAATAATCTATTCGGTAATATAGAAGGCGGCTGACATTGATGAGGCCACGACGGAGAAGAGACAATACGAGGTCACCACCTGTGGCGCGATGTTAGCGAGATTAACAAGCCGAGGGAATTTCGCAGCTTGGAAAGAGAAGCAGGTTGAGATAGGGACGGGAGAGGTTGAATCAGAGGCTGTAGAAACAACTGCGATCTCTACTAGCTGGTAAATTGTGAACCCGATAAAGAAAGGGTAACTGGCGCCGCGCCGCCCATGTCGACGTATCGTGACTCATCGATCTCACAATAACAAACGATTTCTACCCTTTTATAAATATATGTCCTAATACAGAATCGTGTATTATTCTCTGCCATTTAATTCTTCATTGGATTATGATATTCTTGGTTTACAATTGGTTGTCGAATATTTTCGCAGATCAGTTGAAGAGTATCACAAATTAATTCTGTCTCATTTATGGTGGATCTCGAAATATGAATCTTGACAAAATTCAAGAGAACATTTATGTAAAATATCTGTATTTAACTAATAAGCAAAATAGTAGATTATCTTGTTGAATAAATCTCTCAAGGAATAATGAAAAATTATAGCTCGCGTAAAAAGGTTACAAGCGAGGGCTTTGTCTTCCTGATTTAAACTTTCGGAGTGTCCGTGCAGACGTGTCTCTTGTCGCGATCTAGATATGTCCGTTGTAAAGTACTTTGAGCTCGTACTGAAATACGATCTTCTATTATTTTTGTCAAGGCACGAAATTTGTCGAGCATATCCGACTGCATCTAGGAACTGATGCGCGAGTATATTTCACAACACCGCCGTCGAGATAAAAGTAATACAAATGTGTGTATAAAACCCCGAAGAGAAACGTTTAACACGTCGCATGCCCTCCCGCGGTTCTCATAAATCCGAAAAAGAGGCGGAATTCTCGACTCTACAAAGTGCTGTTTTTAGATTGCCATGTCTGTTTGCGAGTTTGCGCAAAAGGCACGGTTGTAATTTAAATGTAGCGTTTTCTCATCCGTGTAACACTGCGTCTGAAAAAGTAGATGTAACAGATTGCATCGTGATTTTAGTCAGTGTTGACGAAGATATTTTCCACGCGTCGCGCTCGGATCAGTTTTTGACAGAAAAATACACTAAATTATGTAATCTGAAATATCATGATAATATTCACTAATATATGTTCCTGCAAAAAAATTAATATTATTCTTTAATTATTAATCCTTCAGAACTGATGATGAGTCCAATGAACCGATTTAAATCTCTTTGTCGAAAATACCATATAATTTAATTTTCTTTGTATTATATCTGTACATTTGGCTTATTCCTATTAATAAGCGGATTTTTGTGCAATTTCATATTTTTTTAGAAAGCAGATTGGAAAGTAACATCAAAATAGAAATTTGTCTTGTTAAAAGAGCATTCTAAAAATATATATTTATTTGTGCATATTATGTATATTTGCACATTTGTGCAAATTTGCACGTTTTGTACATATCTGCATAATTATCTGCATAAAAAATCCGATGTTTACTTATTAAAATATAGGGTAAATATGCCGGCAATTATGCCGCTGAGATTTACGCCGCAGGAGTCAGAAAAAATAGGATGAGGATTGTCTTGTATATCCCAGCTGTTTGGGCATTTTTAATGGGCAGGATCTATGTCCAAAGAATACAAAGTATACAAAGTATACAAAGTATACAAAGTAGGCAGATTGAATTTATTGCACTAAATGCAATAAACGCATTACATGAAATATGTATTTCATGTCATAACACTTGTAATACATGTGAGAAGATTGTAATTATTATTTATTACTTCATATACATATTTATTATTTTTATTCCTTAATAAAACTTTATAAATGCATTTTATAAGTTATTACGACTTATTTATTATATGCATTATTTGTAAATTTTTCATAAGCGTACGTATCTCCCTTCCTCCTATGAGTAGTCATATATCCCATCCTTATAAGATATACGGCAAAAATACAAGAGTTTAAAAAAGTTCATTTTTTAATACGAAATATAAATATTTCGGATTTCCAATATTTTTTTCATAATAGTGAACAATACAAAGTTTTTACTGATATAGTTCGTTTACTTTAAACATAGTAAATAATACTTCATAAATAATACTTCAAAAATTAAGTTTTTGATATGTACGATGTATATACGGGAATTATTAATAAAATTAATAATAAAATTAATTACTGCCTTTTAATTAATATAAATTATTTAGATTTTACAGCTACAGTGTCAGTAACTATGTTATATTTTGACTCGAAAGGATTAATATAACCGATATTAAATTTTAAAGAAAGATAAAAAAAGCATCTTCAGATTTTTCTTTGCAGATTTTTCTTTGCTTACTGCAGTCCTATGAATCGCAATACAATTGCGCAATAGATTTATGTAAATTTATTATAGATTTATATTCTAGATATATATAAATCTCACAAAATATTTTGCGAGATTGGCGCAAAGCATTTAAAAATACATGTATCTGTAGATATAAAGGATAATTTCTCGAAAGTCGGATCTCAATTACACAGTCACAATGACTGGTGCAACTGACGTTTTTCGAACGACGTTCTATGTCCCGCGAGAAGGGATGAAGGGAAAAAATTTACATCGCGTTTCGGTCTCTTTCAAAGTTGTACCGAGGAGGTACTGGTGGGAACCCCTCTTCTATACCGAGTCTCTCATCCCTAGCAGGAGGTGACGACGACAAATCCAGCCGGGACGTGGCGACGCATAACCAAATCCATCCACCCCTTCGCCCCCCGTTATTTCATCACCTGCACCCACCCTCGACTGGCTGTTTCCGGCGCCTCCGCCAACGACACCCGACATTCTACGAGGCCGCGACTCTGCGGAAAATACGGCACACGTACTTGACGTACCTCACACCGTTCATCCATCTCACCCTTTCGCCCTTCGCGTTTCGAGAAAGCAACCCCCGGATACCATCCGTTCCCCTTGCTGCCTGCTGTCCTCCGCAGCCAGCTAGAGAAATGGTGACACGAATGTGCCTGCCCCCTCCCCCCCCCGTGAGGGGGGAATTGCGGACTCGCGTCGGAAGGAAATTCCGAGGAAGATAAGGATAAATAAGGTAACCGCGACGGTATGGAAGATACTGGTGGCGCATGTATTACAACTAGCCTAGCAGGTGAGAAGAAAAATTGTCGTTGACTTCACTGTTGGATCGCCGCGATGAGAAAATACTCGTCTCTCGGCCATAAAATTTCACAAGATGTCGACACGAAAAAAAATATAATCGAAATTATCAATCCGTTGAATTCACGCCATAGTCTACGTACAGAATATTTACCTTACCTACAGAATATTTACCTTTATTATACAGCACATTGGGATAAATAAGGAAAATTCAGCAATTGTCATATATATATATATACACTAAAAGAAAAGATTGGCTGCTGTAGCAAATTAGATGATAAATATGGCATAGCATTTTAAAATTGGCTGCAGCAGCCAATTTTTGGTTGCGTTAGCCAATCGAAATCCTGTATTGACATTGTGGATAGGTTAACACAACTAAAAATTGCAACAGCCAATCTTTTTTCTCAGTGTACACACACACACACACACACACACACACACACACACACATCCACCCCCACACACATCCACCCACACACACATATCCACCCACACACACACATCTACCCACACACACACACACACACACACACACACACGTCATCTTGTTGCTGTATTTTCCAATGAGATCTGTCATGGCAGCTCCCGTACAATATAAAATGAGAAGATGATTGCTTCGTTCGAGAAGCCATCGAAAATCACGAGAGAACAAATGCGAGCTACATACGCTGGCAC